AAAAGAATAAACATTAAAAATTTAGCCAGGGGTGGTAGCATGGGCCTATGGTCCCAGCTACTTAGGAGGCTGAGGTGAGAGGATTGCTTGAGCCCAGGAGGCTGAGGCTGCAGTAAGCCATGATCACACCACTACATTCATTCCAGTCTGGGTGACAGAGTGAAACCTTGTCTCAAAGAAAGGCTGGGCATAGTGGCTCACGCCTGTGGAGGCCAAGGCAGGCGGATCACTTAAGGCCAGAAGTTTAAGACCAGCCTGGGCAACATGGCAAAATGCTATCTACCAAAAATACAAAAATTAGCCAAGCGTGATAGTACACGTCTGTAATCCCAGCTACTAGCGAGGCTGAGGCAGGAGAACTGCTTGAACCTGGGGGGCACAGGTTGCAGTAAGCCAAGATCGCGCCACTGCACTCCAGCCTGGGCGAGAGAACAAAACTCTGCCTCAAAAAAGAAAAAAGAAACAGAGGTACACAAAGTAAGAGAGAGAGAGAGAAAAGAGAAAGGGGAGGAGAGGGAAGGAGAGGGAAGACAGGAGAGAGAAAGAACAGGTGGGCAAAATAAAGGGGGAAAAACAATAATTCTAAGATAATACAAATTTAAAGATACATGAATAAATAAAAAATAAGGACTTTTCCCCTCCCCACTCTCCACCAAAAATGAAGGAGGGAAAGCAAGAGGAAAGGTAATCAGGAGATTGAGCTAGGAGAGAAAGATGTAATCAACCATAAATGACCTTTCCCTAGCCTGCCCACCTCCCACCCCACTTACCCCACCAAAGGGCCCCTGGGACTGAGATCAGCTGTGGATGATATGATTGTTCTCAAAAGAGAATAGCCCAAAGGCAGGAGACTGCCCTACCCACACCTGCTTCTGCAGCCCTCCTGCATTTACCTATTTCAAGTGACTCCCTTCCTAGGTACCTACTACGCCCTACTCCTGGCCTATCCTCTTCACCCTTCTCCCATTTGTCCCCCTACCCAGAGCTTCTCCCTACAGATTCCATCTTCCCCTCCTTATGGACTGAGGATCAGAGGATCAGACACAACCTCACAAGATCTTCTGAGATTTTTTTCCCCAGGGCCTCACCCATCCTGGCCCTCCCAAGGTCACCCCCTTTCTTCTTCCTATCTCCAAGGTCAGTTTCTGCCCTTTCCCTCCACCCTGTCAACAATGACCAACATTCCTATTGCGTTTATGATGTGCCAGGTCCAGTCCTTAGCATTTTACGCATTAATTTTTCACAGCCGGATGAGGTGGCCACTGTTAATATTTTACAGGGAGGAAAATTAGGTCCATAGACCCAGAGAGGTGCAGTCTGTTGCCCAAGGCTACTCAAGTGGAAAGTGGCGGAGCAAGGACGTGAACCCACCCACTTAACCACTACTCTCCTGTCAACTGTAGTTCAAGGCTCTTCTGCAACCTACTGCCTCCCCACCCCAAAAAGGGGCTTCTAACTACGTTTTTTGCAGGGTAATCTTGCCCTTAGCAGCATCCACCTGAAGGGACTGAGACTCTTTTGGCAAGAAACAAAGCCTTCTCAAGCGTTTCTAAGAAACCTGGGCAAAGTGTCCTGTCTGTACCCCTCTCCCTTCTTTTTCCCCCCTCATTAATTCAACAAATACTAATCATCTCCTCTGTACGGTGTCCAGAACACACGAATTCCCTGTCTTGATATTCGATCAGAAGACACAGGAATCAAGTTTTTACACATTTCATTTTAAAATCAGAATTGTGGCAAAGAACTACAGGGCCCTATGCAGCCTGTGACAAGGACCTGCTCTCTTCTTTCTCCTTTTTGAAGAGGAATCTTTGCCCAGAAGAAAGTCTCTCCCTTACAAAGTCAGTTGCATTCTCTAAACCCTGAGAGAAAAGGTCCCGCGGTCTTCCCCTGTCCCTCCATGGAGCCCTGAGTAGGGGAGACAGCTCATAAGGAACTCCCATCCCTCTCTTCAAGTCGTCTTTCTCCCTCAGGGCCCACAAAGAAGTTGCAATTAGGTTTTTTTCCTCTCCTAAAGGAAGTGGCAGAGCTTCCCTTCAGTGTCTTCTCCAAGAGGTCTCCCACTTTTTCCCTTCTGGGACAGCGCTTTCTTCATATCCTTCAGGGACCCGACGCTCTGAAGATAGCCTTTACGTTCCTATTCCCCTTTGGGAAAACCTCCTGGAGACCAGGTACTCACAGATATAGCCAGTCCCCGAGCGCCAGGCCGCCGCAGCAGCAGGAGGGCAGCCTGGCCCAAGATTCGGCTTTGCCTCCAAAACCTCGCCGCAGCGATTACTACCGCCATCTTGACTAGCAACCACACAGCGGTCCAGCCCTCTTGTAGGCTAGACTCGGGGCTCCCCCTTTATATGCCTGACGCAAACTCCAAACCATCTGACACGGAAACCACCTTTTTCCTGTCCTGTGGTAGACAGAATGCACAGAGATTTGGAAAGAAAATCTACCTGTCCAAAGTTTTCTCCAATTGTCTCATTGTAGTTACTCCTGTAACAGGAAAAAAAAACGGGCAACCTGACCAAGGCCCCAGGGATTTAGGGGCCGGCTGTTCAGAGTAAAACAGGACCATGCCAAGGCCCGCCTCCTGTTCTCAACTGCCCAATGGCGTTGCCAGAGTTAGGAGGTGGGTCAGGGCGGAGCCAAATTGTTGGTAAACGCTAAGACACGTGCGGACGCCCAGGCTAACTGCCCAGCCCAACGCGTGCGCACTGGTTACGCAGCCTGTACGCAGCGCGCGCTGCCGGGCGGAAGTGACAATCGCAGCCGCACGTGGGGTCTGGCGTGATGGAGGAGGAGATGCATACTGACGCCAAAATTCGCGCTGAAACTGGAGCAGGGTCCAGCCCTCGGGGTCCCGGCTGCAGCCTTCGGCACTTTGCCTGCGAACAGAACCTGCTGTCGCGGCCAGATGGCTCTGCTTCTTTCCTACAAGGTAAGAACTTCACGCTGGTCTTTCTTTTAGAGAGGGACTACAGTGCAACGAAGTGCCCACCTCCCCACGTTACCAGCTGGTAAATGTCACTCCTGCACTGATGCAGGGTTTCTTGTCTGGTTTATCCCTACATACGCAGGGATACACACATCTCTCCCTCACGACTAGAAAGGAGAAGATAGCTCCATCCTGGCAAATATCTCTGAGAATGAGAAGAGGGGCAGACTGTCCCCCCAAGAATGGATATTTCAGAATAGGGAAAATCACCTCACCAAGGCAAATATCCCCCTTAACTAGATTCGTCCTCCGCCTCTCACACACACTCTCTAGGTCCATGCATCGCGGACTGACACAAAGCTGTCTATTTGCATAAATACTCTGGACTGTGATGGATCTTTCACCCACATAAATACTTCTCAAATTGAAGATATTGTCACTACCCTAGGTTGAAAATATGTCGCCACTGCCACCTCACTGCCATCTCTCCACAGGAGTAAATATCCCTAAGATTAGTGCAAGTCTTACCTATAGGGCAAATATCCCCTTCCCCTAGCTAAATAACTCTCAAAACTAGATTAACTCCAAGAACATTTTTCTTTAAAATTTGACAAGGGAGGCCGGGCGCAGTGGCTTCACGCCTGTAATCTCAGCACTTTGGGAGACCGAGGCGGGTGAATCACCTGAGGTAGGGAGTTCAAGACCAGTCTGGCCTACATGCAAAACCGCATCTCCACTAAAAATACAAAAATTAGCTGAGTGTGGTGGTGGGTGCCTGTAATCCCAGCTACTCAGAAGGCTGAGAGCAGCTGCAGTAAGGGGGAGGATGGTTAGCTTTCAGGAAGGACTTCCTGTTAAAAGTTACTAATATCAGGGCCAGGTATGGTGGCTCACACCTGTAATCCCAGCACTTTGGGATTACAGGTGACCAGGAGTTCAAGACCCGCCGGAGCAACATGGCAAAATCCCCTCTCTACTAAAAATACTAAAATTAAGCCGGCACAGTGGGTCACACCTGTAATCCCAGCATTTTGGGAGGCCAAGGTGGGCAGATCACCTGAGGTCAGGAGTTCAAGACCAGCCCTGGCCAACATGGTGAAACCCCATCTCTATTAAAAATTAAAAAAAAAAAGGTGGGGGTGGGGAGTTGGGGAGAGATAGCATGGGGAGAAATTCCAGATACAGGTGAAGGGGAGGAAGGCAGCAAATCACGCTGCCATGTGTGTACCTATGCAACAATCTTGCATGTTCTTCACATGTACCTCAAAACCTAAAATGCAATTTAAAAAAAAATTTTTTTTTTTTTTTTTTTAAAAAGCCGGGCATGGTGGCAAGTGCCTGTAGTTCCAGCTACTCGGGAGGCTGAGGGGGGAGGATCGCTTGAGCCCAGAAGGCCAAGGCTGCAATCAACCATGATGGCACCACTGTACTCCAGCCTGGGCCAGGAGAGTGAGACCCTGCCTGAATGCCTTAATGGATGACTATTACTAATATCAGCTAAAGTCAGTTGCGCACTCAGCATGAGCCCCACAATGTCTTGTGTTCTCTGTGAATTGAGTCCTTTGACCCTCACAGGACGCTAGAGGGGAGGGACTGCTGTTGTCCCCATTTTACAAATGAGGATTCGCAGGCAGAGAAGTGAAGTGAGTGCTCAAAGAATCACTGCCAAAAATTGGCGGGGGTGGCGTGGGGGGCCCTGGCCATCAGGCTCAATGCCACGAATGGGGCCCCAGAAGCCACTGTGAGTGAGGCCTCCCGTGCTGTCTCTCCAGGTGACACCTCTGTCCTGGCGGGTGTGTACGGACCGGCCGAGGTGAAAGTCAGCAAAGAGATTTTCAACAAGGCCACACTCGAAGTGATCCTGAGGCCGAAGATCGGGCTGCCTGGTAATGGGTGCTGCTGAACCTCCGAAGAATGCCCCGTTTGTCAGAACTGCTCCCTGGCTCCTCCCTGCCAGCGCCCCCAGTCTCCACTCCCCACTTTGGTCTCCCCTTAGCTGTTTCTTTAACTCTCTGTCCCTGTGTCTCATCTTCTGTTGCTTCTCTGTCTGTCTCTAATTTCTTCCTCCGTCTCTCTTTATCCCTCTCTCTGCCTTCATCTCCCTTTCATTCCATTAACCTGTTTTTCTTGTTCTTTTTTTTTTTTTTTTTTTTTTTTTTTTTTTTTTTTTTTTTTTTTTCCTGTTCTGTTGCCCAGGCTGGAGTGCAGTGGCACGATCTCGGCTCACTGCAACCTCTGCCTCCCAGGTTCAAGCGATTCTCTTACCTCAGCCTCCTGAGTAGCTGGGATTACAGGCACCTGCCACCACCCCCAGCTAATTTTTTTGTATTTTTAGTAGAGGCAGAGTTTCACCATGTTGGCTAGGCTGGTGTCAAACTGCTGACCTCAGGTGATCTGCTTGCTTTGACCTCCCAAAGTACTGGGATTGCAGGTGTGAGCCACTGTGCCTGGCCTTTTTTTAAATTTATTTTTTATTTTTTTGAGATGGAGTCTTGCTCTGTTGCCCAGGCTAGTCTTGAACTCCTGACATCAGGTGATCCACCCGCCTCGGCCTACCAAAGTGCTGGGATTATAGGCGTGAGCCACGGAGCCCAGCTCTTCTTTTTTTTTTTTTTTGAGACGGAGTCACTCTTGTCACCCAGGCTGGAGTGTAATCGTGTGATCTCAGCCCACTGCAACCTCCACCTCCCGGGTTTAAGCCATTCTCCTATCTCAGCCTCTCGAGTAGCTGGGATTACAAGCATAGACCACCACGCCCAGCTAATTTTTATGTTTTTAGTAGAGACAGGATTTCGCCGTGTTGGCCAGGCTGGTCTCAAACTCCTGAGCTCAAGTGATCCGCCTGTCTCAGCCTCCCAAAGTGTTGGGATTACAGGCGTGAACCACTGTGCCTGGCCCATTAACCTATTTTTCACCCTTTTACCCTCATATCCCTCGGTCCCCACTGGCTGGGCCTGCTGGGGTGGGAGTGGGCGTGGGTAGCATCACAGACATGGTACTCTCAGGTCTTTCTCCCCTGCATGGTTCCCTTGGTGGATGCCGGAGGTAGCAGGGTTGGTGAATGGCAGGCAGGCCCTGCCTCCTTCCCACTGGAATCCTCCATCATCCCTGCAGGTACCAGCACCATCCCAGCCTGAGACTATGGGCCCTTTCCAGGGGGTTTGGGTGGAGCATACAGAGTAAGGTGAGCCAGATGGAGGGGAAGACTGTGACAACCTCTCTTCAATTTCCTCAGGCGTTGCAGAGAAGAGCCGGGAGCGGCTGATCAGGAACACGTGTGAGGCGGTGGTGCTGGGCACATTGCACCCCCGCACCTCCATCACTGTGGTGCTGCAGGTTGTCAGCGATGCCGGCTCTGTATCCTTTCCTACAGGCTGCTGCCTCCAGGAAGTCTCCTGATTGCTTCTTTTCTGGTGGCCACATATGCCCTCTCTGCTAGCCAGAAAGCCTTCAAACACTTGACAGGCACCAGCTCACTGAAGGAGAGTAGGCATAGCCTGAGTGCTTATTTATGTGCCAGACCCTGTTCGCTGTGCCTTATACACATATCTTATTTAATACAGCATGTGAAACACATGCCCTTTTGATCCCCGTGCAAGTGGCAGAGCCAAGACTTAGACCCAGATCACCTAGTTCTAGAGCCCAAGGACCCTGGCAGATGAATGTTCTTATCTTTGCATGTTTCAGGTGACAAAACTGAGGCCCAGACAGAGGAAGGGGCTTGCCCAAGGTCACACAGCTGGAAGGCAGCACAGGCAGGACTCAAGCCCAGGCCGGTCTGACTCCAGAGCCTGTGCCAATCACTTCTTTTGCTTTTTGTTTGTTTTTGAGCCAGCGTTTCAGTCTGTCACCCAGACTGGAGCACAGTGGTGCAATCTCAGCTTACCGCAACCTCCACCTCCTGGGCTCAAGCAATTCCCATGCTTTAACCTCCTGAGTAGCAGGAATTACATGCGCCCACCCTAATGCCAGGCTAATTTTTGTATTTTTAGTAGAGAAGGGGTTTCACCATGTTAGCCAGGCTGGTCTCAAACGCCTGACCTCAAGTGATCAGCCCACCTTGGCCTCCCAAAGTGCTGGGATTACAGGCATGAGCTACTGTGCCCGGCCGGCAATCACTTGTACTCTGCACCTCAGTGGATTTCAGGCTGTCAGTGCTGGGGGCACCCTGAGCAGAGAGCAGCTGAGTCAGGAGCTTGGCCTCGAAAGATCACTGTGTCTGAGGTGAGGGAGGTTGAAGTTGAAGACCAGAATTAGGCATTGTAGAAGGCTTTACTGGTTCGCGGCCCCGAACTGGACAGACGTTTTATGGATGGGCAGAGAGAGAAGGTATTGTAACTCCATTTTACAGAAGGGGAAAGTGAAGCCCGGAGGAAGTGGTGGGGGGTCAGCAGCAGAGCTGGAACTGATTGACTCTAAAGCTGTGGCTTCTGTGTGGCTTGCTAGGCCTGGAGAAGAAACGCATGAGGAAACTGAGGCAGAGCCAGCTAACTCCCAACCTGTGCTGTCCATCCATGGTGAGTTCCCGCAGGCAGCAGAATGGCTCTTCCTCCACTGCCCTGCCAGCTCTGTCACTGGGGAGTGGCTGCCACCCACATTTCAGGCCTGGCTCTGCCAGTGCCTCCCCCACGTGACTTGGGAAGGTTTCTCCCCTTTCTGACCCCATTTGCCAAAATGTGTGGTATGTACTTCAGTACATACCTGTTGAATATTATGATATTTCCTACCTAACAGATGAGGAGCTTGAGACTCAAGGAGTAAGTCACTTCCTCAAGGTCACAAGCTGAGACAGCAAAGCCAGGTCTGGAACCCAGGGTTACGCAATCCCAGAACCACTTTTAACCACTCTGCCATACTGTCCTTCTGTGACTGATTAGTGATGTCTGCCACAGGCATTGGCCCAGTGGAGGGAGCCATGGATCTGCTCTGCTGGCCAGACCTACAGTAGAAACTCCTTAGGCTGGGTGCTATGGCTCAAGCCTGTAATCCCAGGACTTTGGGAGGCCAAGGCGGGAGGATCACCTGAGGTCAGGAGTTCAAAACCAGCCTGGCCAACATGGTGAAACCCCGTCTCTACTAAAAATAAAAAAATTAGTCGGGCATGGTGGTGGACACCCATAATCCCAGCTACTCGGGAGGCCGAGGCAGGAGAATCACTTGAAACTGGGGCGCGGAGGTTGCAGTGAGCCAAGATCACGCCACTGCACTCCAGCCTGGGTGATGAGTGACATTCTATCTCAAAAAAAAAAAAAAAAAAAACCAACAAAAAAAAGAAACTTAACCATTGCTCGTGGTGCTCAGCTCCTGGCCTGTTGTCTGAATGCCGCCTGCATGGCATTGGTGGATGCAGGTGTACCCATGCGGGCTCTCTTCTGTGGGGTCACCTGTGCCCTGGACTCTGATGGGACCCTTGTGCTGGATCCTACATCCAAGCAAGAAAAGGTAAGTGTGAAGCCCAGGGTGGCTGAAAGACAGAGGCCACACAGCTCCCCCTCCCTTCCCAGGCCTCACTTCTCTGCAGACAGTTGGCTCATGCCACGTCAGTCCCACTTAGCAAGGGCTGCTCCAATCATCATGGTTCATTTAGCAGCAGGTGACAGAAACCCAGCTCAAACTTCCTTAATTGGAAAGGAAATGTATGGGCGTGGTTGCTCACGCCTGTAATCCCAACACTTTTTTTTTTTTAAAGGCTAGTCAAGTGAAGCAGTGGGAATGGAGAAGGAACAAAGAAATCTGTAACTGGTTGTAATCAATTACTTGTAAACACCACTGCACTCAGACCAGCCAATCTCAACACTTTGTGAGGCCAAGGCGGGTGGATCACAAGGTTAGGAGTTCAAGACCAGCCTGACCTAACATGGAGAAACCTTGTCTCTACTAAAAATACAAAATTAGCTGGACATGGTGGTGCATGCCTATAATCCCACCTACTCGGGAGGCTGAGGCAGGAGAATCACTTGAACCTGGGAGGCGGAGGTTGCGGTGAGCAGAGATTACACCATTGCACTCCAGCCTGGGTGATGAGTGAAACTCAGTCTCAAAAAAAAAAAAGAGGTATGGCCAAGAACAGTGGCTCACACCTGTAATCTCAGCACTTTGGGAGGCTGAGGTGTACAGATCACTTGAGGCCAGGAGTTCAAGACCAGCCTGGACAACATGGTGAAACCCTGACCCTACTAAAAATATAAAAATTAGCCAGGCATGATGGTGCACGCCTGTAGTCCCAGCTAGTGGGGAGGCTGAGGCAATAGGATCGCTTGAGGTCAGGAGTTAGAGACCAGCCTGGCCAACATGGTGAAACTCTCTACTAAAAATATAAAATTAGCCAGGCGTGGTGGCATGTGTCTGTAATCCCAGCTACTCAGAAGGCTGAGGCAGGAGAATTGCTTAAACCCAGAAGGCAGAGGTTGCAGTGAGCTGACATTGCGCCACTTCACTGCAGCCTAGGTAAGAGTGAAACTCCATCTCAAAAAAATAATGAAATAAAACCAGGACTTCAGACACCATCAGGATGTCCTGGCTTCACTTCTCATCCCTGCCTTTCTCAGCTTCATTCTCTGTGGCCAGCATCTTTCCTGAGGCTGGGACTGACCCCGTAAACTCCCAGTTTCCATCTTAAGAGGCTCAAAAGCAAACATCAGCTCAGGTTCAGTGTCCTGAGCGCAGGTATTCTGAGTTGTCTTCCCAGTGCTCTAATGGTTTCCTCCAATCAAGAAGGCAGAAACCACTTGGAGGGTTTCAGATGGAGGGAGCTGTTGTATTTTTTGGCAGTTGAGATGGAGTCTCGCTCTGTTACCCAGGCTGGAATGCAGTAGCATGATCTCGGCTCACTGCAACCTCCACCTCCCTGGTTCAGGCGATTCTCCTGCCTCAGCCTCCCGAGTAGCTGGGATTACAGGCATGCGCCACCATGCCCAGCTAATTTTTGTATTTTTAGTAGAGACAGGATGCTCTACCCTTCCTAACCCATAGAAGGGTGACTATCTCTCTTGAGTTTGTGATCTGCCCGCCCTGGCCTCCCAAAGTGCCAAGATTATGGTCATGAGCCACTGTGCCTGGCCAAAGGACTGGCTGAGACTTTATCTGAAGGGAGGGTCCTAGGTACCCCACTACCTTCTTCTTCTCCTTGTCCCTAGGAGGCCCGGGCAGTCCTGACCTTCGCCGTGGACAACGTGGAACGGAAGCTGCTCATGTCCAGCACCAAGGGACTCTTCTCAGACGCTGAGGTACCAGCATGGGGATGAGGGCAAAAGCCAGAGCCTTCCCTCCCACTGACATGCAGTCTTGCTCCAACTCTGCCCTAGATTCTGAGAGTCTTCAGGAGAGCCTCTTGCATTTCTGCTTGTAAAAAAGAGAGTTTTCAAATTTTGTGGTCCCAGAAACCTTTGTGGAAATGTTTAAGGGAAGCCCAATTTATGGGACAGGCAAAAAGAGGTTGAGCTCAGTTTAAAGTCAGAAGATGGCCAGGCATGAGCCTGGTGGTACACACCTGTGATCTAAGCACTTTAGGAGGCCAAGGCAGGTGGATCACGAGGTCAAGAGATGGAGACCATCCTGGCCAACATGGTGAAACCCTGTCTCTCTAAAAGTTTTAAAAAGAAACTTTAGCCGGGCGTGATGGCACACGCCTGTAGTCCCAGTTACTCAGGAGGCTGAGGCAGGAGAATCGCTTGAACCCAGAAGGTGGAGGTTGCAATGAGCTGAGATTGCACCACTACATTCTAGCCTGGAGACAGAGCAAGATTCCTTCTCAAAAATAATAATAATAAATAAATAAATAGGGCTGGGCGCAGTGGTTCACGCCTGTAATCCCAGCACTTTGGGAGGCCGAGGTGGGTGGATCATGAGGTCAGGAGATCCAGACCATCCTGGCTAACAGCAAAACCCTGTCTCTACTAAAAATACAAAAAATTAGCTGGGTGTAGTGGCATGCAGCTATAATTCCAGCTACTCGGGAGGCCGAGGCAGGAGAATCACTTGAACCCAGGAGGCAGAGGTTGCAGTGAGCCAAGATCGCGCCACTGCACTCCAGCCTGAGCAACAGTGTGAGACTCCATCCCCAAAAAAATAAAAATAAAAAAATAAAGTTAGAAGATGAAGGGCATGTGATGGTCCCCCAGCTCCTAGCTCAGAGTGGTAAGCCACCAAAATTCCGGGTCTCAGGCTAAGGGACAGAAGCTTGGAAACTGCGAAAGCATGTCCAACCTAGACCTCATGAGTCTAGGAATACATGGCAGGAAAGATTGGGAGTCTCTTGATTCCATGGCTCTTAGATTATTTGGGGTCAAGGGGCCCATGACTAAAATCCCAAGACCACTCCAATTATGTGCTTTCTCCAGTTCCCTAGCTCTGCAAAGCTGGGGCCTCTTCCAGGGTATGAGGATGCCTGATTGGTCTGAGTCCTGTTGCTGTCAGACTCTTATCCCTGAAGCCCTCTCACCCTCTCTTTATTTCTCCTGATCTCTAAGAAACGGCTCATGAAGTGGGAGATAATCCCTCACCACCTGCCTCACTTGGCGGCGGGGGAGTGATGGGAGGTGAAGGGGGAGGTGGTGGGTTTGGGGGCAAAGGGAGGCAGGTGGGGTCAGCGGAACCTCTTGCATCAGCCCTGTCACGTCGTGTGTGCATGCAGGGCTCAGCCCCCAGCACCAACCAGTCTCTCCCCCGCAGCTCCAGCAGTGCCTGGCTGCGACCCAGGCGGCTTCGCAACACGTCTTCCGCTTCTACCGGGAATCGCTGCAGAGGCGTTACTCCAAGAGCTGAGACAAGCTGGGGCAGGGGGCCGCTCCCACCACCTCCACCCACCCACCCGCTACAGCCCGAAGCAAACCAGCGGCCCAGCCTTGCCTCTCGGTCCTATGGGCTCATGTGAGCCTGCAGCCATGTCACCACAGGGGCTCCTACAGGGAGGCCTTGGCCCCTGACAGTCCCCAGGCCTGTAGCCACAGATCCCTGCCCAACAAGGATAACATTCAAAGGAGTTCACATTTATGGAATGGATGAGTCAATAAATCATTTTAACACGTCTGTGGAGCACCCATTGTCTGCAGGCCCTGCTAGTGAGATCCCAGAGGAGCAGGGAGGTAAGCTGGTATTTGTCAGATGGTACTAAATCTATGAAAAAAATAAAACCAGCCGGGCGTGGTGGTTCACACCTGTAATCCCACCACTGTGGGAGTATGAGGCGGGCAGATCATAAGGTCAGGAGTTCAAGACCAGCCTGGCCAACATAGTGAAACCCTGCCTACTAAAAATACAAAAATTAGCTGAGCATGGTGGCAGGCGCCTGTAATCCCAGCTACTGTGGAGGCTGAGGCAGGAGAATGGTTTGAACCCGGAAGGTGGAGGTTACAGAGAGCCAAGATCGTGCCACTGCACTCCAGCCTGTGTGACAAGAGTGAGACTCCGTCCCAAAAACAACTACAATAACAAAACCCTCTTCCCCCTTCTCCAGCTCAGGTCTCAGGGAGCAAGTACCCTGGGATGCCCACGACAGCTTGTCACCCTGACTGGTCGGTCCCCTCTTGGTCTCAAGCACCCCAACCCCTTCCATCCTCCCCAACACGCACATGAATAGACTCTGGTTTGGCCGCAAGGGTGTCTGGTGTTTAATCTCACGTTGCTGCCGCCCGATGAGCGGTGGCCAGGAAGGGGAGGGGCTCCAGTCCAGCTCGCTCCCGTCTCTAGACGCTCCTGCCGCCGCCGGAGCCTCATCCACCAAGATTCTCCACTCTGTCCAGGGATTCGCTGGGCTGCCGGCCTCATGGTTCACAGTGAGGGCTGTAGGGGCAACTAGGGCGGGTCTCGGGAGGCAAGGTAGGCGGCCAGGGTCACCAGGGCAGCCGCATACGTGCACACGCCCAGCCCGATGGCGAGGACCCCCAGCAGGAAGGCACGGCGGGAGGCGGCCCCTGCCCCCTGGATGTCCCCCTTGGCCCAAGCCTTGTTGGTCTGTAGAGGCAGTGGGCAGCAGTGACCCAGGCATCCCCTCAGCCCCAGACCCTTCCCCTGGTCCCTCCTCCACCCAACATACCCATTCATTCATGCATGCATGTATTCCAAAAGCAGATATGTAGCACCTACTATAGGTCAGCCACTAGGGATGCTGAGTGACTAATAAAACATTAAAATAGTATATGCCACTGTTCTAACTCACTTGATTCTCACATTGACCCACAGGTAGCAATTATTCCTGTTTCACAGATGAGAAAAGTGAGGTACAGGTATTGATCGACTTACGCCTATGCAACTTACAACCATTTGACTTTATGACCATAATCGCTAGCCACGACTGCTCCGCGTCTGGCAGCGCAAACGTTGCCCAGATGGGCGTACGACAGTGCGGACCAGCTTCCGGCAGCACTACCATCTCCTCGTGCATATAGCCTACTCAACTTACTACCAAATCGTGTTACGACCGGTCTGTCGGCACCAATCGTGGTCGTAAGTCGAGCACTAGCTGTACAGGGAAGTTACGTGACTTGCCCAAAATCTTACAGAGGGGTTGGGCACAGTGGTTCATGCCTGTAATCCCAGCACTTTGGGAGGCCGAGGCAGGAGGATCACTTGAGGTCAGGAGTTTGAGACCAAACTGGCCAACATGGTGAAACCCTATCTCTACTAGAACTACAAAAATTAGTTGGGTGTGGTGGCAGGTATCTATAATCCCAGCTACTCAGGAGGCTGAGGCAGGAGAATCACATGAATCTGGGAGGCAGAGGTTGCAGTGAGCTGAGCTTGTATCACTGCACTCCAGCTTGGGTAACAGAGTGAGACTCCATCTCAAAAAAAAAAAAAAATCTTGCAGAGAGTGGCAGACTCAGGATTTGAGTTCAGGTGGTTCTTAACTAACACTCTGAGCTGCCTTTTGATGGAATTCCCGCCTCATAGACAGCTGTTTTTGTGGTGCATTTTTCTCTTTTATACGCAGTCCCCTCCCAGTCCCACACACACACTGACCTTCTGGGCTAGACAGAAGGCAGCAATGCCCACAGGCCAGAAACAGCACAGCATGGAGAAGACAGCCAAGCCGAGGTGGTCGTGGGGAAGGAACGGTGAGAGACGGCCGCCCCCATCCGAGTCAGAGTCACTGTCACTGGATGACATATCCTATGTGCAGGAAAGTGCCCAGGTAGGCATCTCCATGCACCTTTCCTGCTCAGTGCTCTGCTCTCCATGGCCCCCAAAGGCTAATACCTGCCCCCAGGGCCTCCCCAGAGATACAAAGAGAAGAAAATACTCAGAGATGGGCTTTTGTTCGTTTGTTTGAGACAGAATTTTGCTCTATCACCCAGGCTGGAGTACAGTGGCTTGATCTCGGCTCACTGCAATCTCTGCCTCCCAGATTCAAGTGTTTCTCCTGCCTCAGTCTCCCAAGTAGCTGGGATTACAGGTGCCTGCCACCACGCCTGGCTAATTTTTATATTTTTATTTATTTACTTATTTATTTAGAGATCGAGTTTGGCTCTGTCGCCAGGCTGAAGTGCAATGGCGCAATCTCGGCTTGCTGCAACCTCCACCTCCCAGGCTCAAGCAGTTCTCCTGCCTCACTCAGCCTCCCGAGTAGCTGGGACTACAGGCGTGTGCCACCACGCCCAGCTAATTTTTGTATTTTTAGTAGAGATAGGGTTTCACCATGTTGGCCAGGATGGTCTCAATCTCTTGACCTGATCCACCCACCTCAGCCTCCCAAAGTGCTGGAATTACATCTGTGAGCCACTGCTCCCAGACTTTTTTTTTTTTAGTAGAGTTGGGGTTTTGCCATGTTGGCCAGCCTGGACTCAAATGCCTGACTTCAGGTGATCTACCCACCTCGGCCTCCCAAAGTGCAGGGGTTACAGGCGTGAGCCACCACACCTGGCCTAATTTTTGGATTTTTAGTAGAGACTGGCTTTCACGGCCGGGCGCGGTGGCTCAAGCCTGTAATCCCAGCACTTTGGGAGGCCGAGGCGGGTGGATCATGAGGTCGAGAGATCCAGACCATCCTGGCCAACATGGTGAAACCCCATCTCTACAAAAAATACAAAAAATTAGCTGGGCGTGGTGGCGCATGCCTGTAATCCCAGCTACTCAGGAGGCTGAGGCAGGAGAATTGCCTGAACCCAGGAGGCGGAGGTTGC